GGTCTGGTCAGCCACCTTGGACCATGTCCATCATGCCATGCCCAGAGCCATGCTGATCTGGGTGGCTCGTGCTGCCACCTGAAGGCATGGAGACTTGTAGGCACAGCCTGCTGCCTAGAGCCATGTCTAGATCTGTGGCCCTGTGGAGGCTGGGATCTGGGGTGATGTCCATAGCTCCAGTTGCCAACAAGAGCTCTAAGAATGCCCAGGGTCTGGCAATCCACCTGGGACCATGTTGATGCCCAGGGGCCATGTGGCTGCTAAGGCCATGCTGTTCGGGGGAGACCTGTGCTACTAGCCTGGCATGGTGGTGTCTGGGCCCAAGCTGCTGTTCAGAAATGCTAGGTACCATAAACTTTTTTTTAAGTTTCATGTATTCCTCATGGCATTGTCTGTGACATTGTTGCTTGTTCCTTTGATAGCTGGAAATAGCTAAAAACTAAATGTAACCTTAGCTGTTTCTAGACATTTGCTAGGAACAGCACTACCCATAAAAGTTAAGATTTATTTCCATGTTTTCCAAGGAATGAAGCAAAAGTAAAAACAAATACACCATTGCAACTATTACTCATCAAGCATTAAGTATATGCTAAATAATGTCATGACCCAGCTCCACTCCCCATCCCCAGCCACATTCCCCCTACAACAATCAGGAGAGAGGTCCCTGCACATTGCCTGGCAAAACAGTAAGCTGGCCCTGGCAATATGAGTAAGGAGAACCTGAATCTGAGGGCCTGAGAGTAGGAGCACTGGCCCCACTCCTTGCTGTAGACTGCATTAGGCAAGCTAGAGGTAGTGCTAAAGAGCTCATCTGGTAATGATATGGGAAAGCTGGCAAGCTACCACTCAGGCTCAGAACCAGGGCTATGAGTTGACCCACCCCAGCATTCACCAAATCTATGAACTGCTGAACCATGTGAAGGGGATGAAACTACAATCCAAAACAACAGGATCTCCATGACACAGGACATCCAAGAGGAGCCCCAGAGAAAGCCCATTCATTACCTGTAATGTAGCAGAAACCAGAGGCCTCAGACCAGACCAATGACTCATAGCAATGAACACTTATAGGTAAAGATGTATGAACTAAAGCATAAACTGTGTGACTCACCAGGCCACACTACAGCTTCCATGACAAGATTCTTCTTTTTTGTTGTTGTTTTGGTTCTTTGTTTTGTTTGGTTCTTCTTTTAAATTTGGTTTTGTTTTGGGGGGAGATTCAAGGGCAGAGGGCAAATGCAATGGGACAGGGAGATAAGTGGAACTGGAATGCATGATGTGAAGTCCACAAAGAATCAATAAAAGTTAAAAAAGAAAATACCATTGATTTCATTTGTGTTGGCCAAAGACTCCTAAATAGAAGACCTATCCTAAAGTGTGGTTAATATACCTAACAATACTCATTGGAGAAAAGCAACTTTTCTTTTCCAAGTAAGTATCCATTGCAAACACAATAGGATTGATGTACATAGGCACTCACAAGGACTGTAGCAGCATGCACAGACCTTCACAGGTTCGAAAGACACTGTTTCCTTTGAATCCAAAAGACACTGTTTCCTTTGAGTTATTCACCATGTCTGGCTCTTAAAATCTTTCTACCTCCTCTTTTGCATAGATCCCTGAGGAGGGGTTTCATGAAGACATCCCATTTAAGTCTGTATTCCAAAGACTCTCACTCTCTGTACATTATCCAGTTGTGAGTTTCTGTGTTAGTTCCTTTATATTTCAAGAAAAAGCTTCTCTGATGATAGCTGAACAAAAGCAAAATGTCATTAGAAGTTATTTTGTTGCTATCTCCCTTTAGTAGAATACTAGTATTTGGTTTTCCCTCTAGGTCCCTGGGCTATCTAGTCTTATTTCTTGGCCATCTGAGCAATATTAAGTCTCTTCCATCTCAGGGTGTGGCCTTATATCAATGAAGAGAGTAGTTGATTACTCCTACATTTATGCCAGTTTTGTACCAAGATATCTTGCAAGGTTATTGTTGTAAATTGTAGATCTTGTAGTTGGGTTGATTACCTTTCTCAGTAGCATGCAACATACCTTCCACTACCATGAAGTAGTCAGTAGGGGTGAAGTCTCCAGTTAGGCCCCAGCTTGATTTCTCCAAGTTCAACAAGATACGTAAATGTTGTCTTCAGTAATAGGGTCTTAAAATACCCATTTGTAGAGAGCAACCAATAGCCTTGGCAATAGCCTGGGGTTTCCATGGAGCCCCTTTGGCCAATGACTCAACTAGATGAAACCCATTCCTGGAACTTGAGGTTTCAGATAGGGGCATAAAATGTCCGGTAGAGGCACTATCTCCCCAATTATTTGGTGACTTGTTTAGATTACTTTCATATAGGTATATTTTTTCTAATAATAAAATAAGATAAAGCAAAAACTAACACATTGAAATTAGACAAAACAAACAGAAAGAAAAGAGCCCAAGAGAAAGCATCAGAAAGCCTAAGGCAAGCTAATCAAAATAAGAAATACAGAAATGCCACCCCATCCCGACGTACAAATTGATTCCATAATAAGAGTACCAGAAATCAGTTTCAAAAAGAAAACAGTAGACAATTAACAAAGAAACTCTTTAGGCACTTTTTTTTTTTTTAAGAAAAATCACTTCAAGTTACATGTCATTATAAAATATACAGATATCACTTTAGCCCAGGAATAGGCAAGAACAGCATCAACAAAAATGGGCATGTTAGGGCTAGAGAGATGGTTCAGCAGTTAAGAACCCTGGCTGCTCTTCCAGGGGTCCTGAGCTCAATTCCCAGCAACTACATGGTGGCTCACAACCATCTGCAATGAGATCTGGTGCCTTCTTCTGGCATGAAGGCATATATGCAGGCAGAACACTGCGTACATAATAAACAAATAATATAAAATGTGTTTTTAAGAAATGGGCATGATAAAACATAGGGCTTTCTCCTTTGGGAAGGAGTGAGTGTGACCTATGAACAGGAGAAGGAGTAAAGACACACAGCTAGTGACCAGCAGGTGCCAAAGACCAGTTACACTGACCAAAGTTTTAATAGGCATAGAGAAAGGATTCATTTCTCAGTCTCCAAGTAACTGAGTGCCATTTTGAGTCCAAGGGATATGGCTACAAGTAATAGCATGTGGCACCCCTCCTTGCTACTTAAAAACTATCCTTGGTATTGGTCCTTCTATTACAATTTTCCAAAACATGCTAGCAATGGCTGAGACACATGATAGGAAGATTCTAGGTCCCTGAACCACCATTATGCAATAAAACAGTCACAAATAAGGAAACACCATAAATAAAAAATAAATCACTTTTCCAACATTTATTAATTCACACAAATACACTGTAAGCATGTACTATGTACAAGGCCTGTGGCAATTTCTGCCATATCATCTTTAGTTTCTAGGTACCACAGAATACTGAAAAGCACATAAACTGAATAGCTTCATCTCAGAGAAAAAATTATAGTCAATAAATGTCTGGAAAAGTGTTCAACAACCTTAGCGATCAAAAATGTAAATTAGCCAAGCATGGTAATACACACTTTTAATCCCAGCACTTTGGAGGCAGAAGCAGGCGGATCTCTTTAGTTTGTTCCTTAATTCATAAAATATTTCTTCACTATTCTTCTGCTGAATAAAATATGTCAGCTAACAGTTTACTCGTTTACAAAGGCTGGGTGTCATAGTTAACATATCCACTCCGAGGTTATCTGATTTCTACTATAGGGTCTGCCCTTGATGAGTTGCTTGCATTTGAGCAAGTCTTTTTCCTTCCCTGGGCATTCACTTCTTCAGATAATGAAAGAATGAAAACAAACAACTAACTTCAAATTAAATGAATTAATAATATTTATAACAGAATTCTCTTTCAGCTTCTAACAGAGGGAGGCCTAGAAAAGCAACCTTTAAAAAGCCAGCTTCCAGCTGGGTGTAGCAGCATGTGCCTTTAAGTCTAGCACTTAAGGACTGGTGGCACAGGCCTACAATTGCAGCACTCAAGAAACTGAGACATGAACTAGAGCCTAAACTTCACACTTTTTAAAGCATAACACTAACAAAATTTAAAAGGAGATTTTAAAAATCATTCCTTATGAAGAAGTAATTGGCAAATCTCTTCGGTAGTATCAGATAGATATTTGAACCAAGGCTAATAATGCTAGTTGAACCCTAAAATATTGCTTCCAAATGTAATCTACTGTACCTGTTGCCTCTAATACAATACAAATCTACTTGAGAACACTTGTTTACAAAACCATAAAACACTTTCCATAAATAAAATCTATTTATTGTTGCAGCCTACATCATCAAGTATGCTGAAGCATCTTTACAACATCAGTGTGACTTAAATTTCAAGAGGAAGTGTTACTGCAAATCATTACTGTTCATTCATTCACAATGACAAAAGGCATCCTTATGGTATTAGGGACTTAGAGATGAAGATATTTAAAGAAAATAAATATTCATAACACATTTCTTGAATTTATGGGCTGTAAATATTTCTCTTTCTGCAATCATAACCCACAATCCCCAACAGACCTTTCTGTCATTAAAACCCATCAATATTGAAATATTTCCGCATGGCATGACACCTTCCAGTTTGTCTCCAGTAGTTTCAGTTCTTAAAGTAAGGTCTCTGATCAGTGAAATGATTCTATTAATATGATTTAAAGAAAATGAAGTAAATAATCAACCAAAGGCACATGTAACACAATTTATATTGTTAACTAAAAGGAAAGCTTTAAAAGACTCTGGACTTTACAAAGTCAAGGGAAATGCTTGTTTTGTAACCTGAATTCTTTCCAGACTCTGACACGGACCATCACAGTCACTGTTTGCTCAACAGCCACAGAGTGAACAACACATCTCATTACTCTGTTAAGATAATGACATTTTCATTTATGGAGGACCTTTCCTAAAATGGTAAGAAGCAATTAAGACACTTTGCAAGGAGAAATCTGTGTATAAACACATATTTGCAAAGCCAAAGGCAAATCTGTCACAAACCAAGGACTTACTTGCTTCATGGCAGTCTCTCCAATTTTGTCTGAATGCTTGCGGATGCTCTCCAGAAAATCTTTGAGATCAGACATAGAAACATCCTTTATCTCCTCCCGAAGCTTGGGGATGTTGTCCACCATCACCTTGCAGAATCGATAGTGGCTCACTTGAGGCAGATAGGTGTGTTCCAGATGCTCCAGAGTCTTCAGTGCAGGATAGTGCCTACAAAAGAAATCAACCACCTTAGCTGATATTAGTCTTCCTTAGTGGGACAAATATATTACAGGAAAAATTTGAACCTCAATTAGTTTTCATTGTACATTAAGACAAATCCAATGTAGTGTTTTAATGAAAACTTAACTATTAAAAATTAATATATGCTTTAAAAACCAGTAATATCCAAAATCTGTCCAATTTGTAAACATGAATACCAATAAAATTAATTATATATAATTTTTTAGTTATCTCAATGTCAAAATACCATTCTATAAAATAAAATACCCCAAGCTAGACTTCTAATGAAAGCAGAGAAAAGAGCTTGAGAAATCATGCACATGGGTTTGTCTGTGTGTGTTGTACACACACACACACACACACACACACACACACACACACACACACGTATGACAAAGTGTGCAAATCAATACAAAACAATCATTTCAGGATTTTAGGGAAATTAATAGAACTGTTCCTACTGATCTTGCCCAACACACTTCTATTACCTCACCTGCAGCTCCCCTGGGCCTGGCGATTAATCATAGCAAGTATTGTGAAAATCAGCAGTCTCACTGACATTAGGAAAGAAGACATTTGGAACAAAGATTGGAAAGTATATAAAGTGGTAAAGGAAATAAAAATATACTAAAATGAAAAGATTAAGATTTTTGTATTTCTTAATTTCTTTGAGAATATTTTAAAGTAATAATTTAACAACACACAATTGGATTCATAAAATATACCATAAATATGTCAACAGAATACAAGAAGAGGAAAGAAAAAAATGAGCTACTTAAAGCTAGCTATATATATATCTGATTTATATAGGCAAAGACTTTAAAGCAAACAGCAATAAACTGAGAAGCATATTATAATCTACAGAGCAAACTCCATGAAAGCAAATCAAAAACTATTTTTAAAAGGGCTGGAAAGATGGATCAGTGGTCAAGAGAACTGGATGCTCTTGCAGAGGACCAGGATTCAGTTCCCAGCAATGATAAGGCAACACAACCACCCACAACTACAGTTCCAAGGAATCTCGCACCCTCTTCTGGCCATGTCAGACACATGGTATATGTACATACATGCAGGCAAAACATTCAAACACATAAACTAAATAAATGCAAAAAATATTTTCAAAATCAGCAAAATTAAAATTGTACATTCCAACTTATTTAAAGCAAAATAAGGCAGAAAGGAGGAACAGGAACGAAGAAGACTGGAAAAAATATGAAACAGAAAAGTTCAACCTTATCAAGAACTACATTAAATATGAAAGGACTATAAACCCCAACTAAAAAGCAAAAACCCAAAGTGGGATTTTAAAAAGCACAATCGTATCTTACCTACAAGAAACATACTTTTAAAGACACAAACAGGCTGAAGATAAACTGTATAGAGAAACTTCAAAAAATTGAAACCAGTATTTTCAAGTTTCCTTTTATTGATTTCTTAGTATATAAAATGGGTTTCATAACAAGTTTTCATACATTTTTTTTCATTCCATCTTGCTCAAATTTAGTCCCCCAATACCTTCCTCCCTCCTTCCTCCTCCCTTCTCACTAATCATCATTTTCCTCTCAAATAGTCTCCTTAGCTTTCATGGCATTTGTGTAGGAAAGGAGGCTAATGTGTATATTTAAATCTAGATTCTGCACATAAGAGAAAACATGGTTTGCTTTCTTTCTATTTCTGTATTACCCTTTTGTTTCTCCCTCCTCACTATTTATATTCCTTCCTCCTCCCTCAGTCACATCTTACTACCATTTCATATATGTATTTATTATATATTACTAATTATTATAAAGTATGTGTTTAATATAGATTCATTCTTGCATTTTTAAGTTAGCATACAAAGAGGTTTCATAGCACTTTCATGTGCCATTATACTTTATTCATAATCTCTCCATGCTCCATTTTCAAGAAAGTGTCCTAATTTCATTTTTCTTTATGGGTAAATTGTGTATATGAACCACATTTTCCTTATTGATTCATCTGTTGACATGAACCAAGCAAGGTTGGTTTCATACCTTACTTGGCTATTGTGATTAGTGCATATATAAATATAATGTGCAAGTATCACTGACATGTGCTTACTTAGTACCCTTCAGGTATAAACCCAGGAGAGAGATAGCTTCATACTATGATACTCTAATGCTAGCATTCTGAGAAAGTTTTAAACTACTTTCCACAGTGCCTACGTCTTCACAAGGATCCTTTACTTTATAAAGGTCCTCCCCCACCCCACAACACCAGCATTTTCTGCATTTTGTTCTTGTTGTTTTCTGGGTTTTTATTTGTTTTTGATAATTATTTTTGTTGTTTTAAAACATTTTTTGTTTATGTGAGGGAGAAGACAGTGATAAGCACGTGTGGTCAGAGGACAACTTACCAATTCCACTGTCCAGGGATAGAATCTCAGTGTAGGTTCAGTTTGCATTTTCTTAGTGGCCAAAGATGTTGAGCATTCTTTCCATATATTTTTAGTCACTTGTATTTTGTCTATTCAGGTCATTTTCCTATTTATTGATTGGATGATCTGTTCATTTGGTGCTTATTTTTTTTAGCTCTTTATAGTGTTTAGATATTAATCACCAATCAGATATACAGTTGACAAAGACTCTGTGATATTCTGTGGCTGTCTTCTCATTCTACTGATTATTTCTTTTTCTGTACAGAAGCTTTTTAATTTTATGTATTCCTCTTTTTGAATTCTTCCAATTGTTTCCTGAGCTCTGAAGTTTTGTTCAGGAGGTTCTTACCCACAACTATACCTTGAGTGTTTTCCTTACATTTGTCTCCAATAGTTTCAGTTCTTAAAGTAAGGTCTCTGATCAGTGCAATGATTTATTAATATGATTTAAAGAAAATGAGTATTTCTGGCAACCCAGAGAGACATAAGAAAGAAAGGATACTATTCATATGACAGATAGAAAAGCTTCCATAGGCATAAGAGGGCAAACACTAAGATTCATAAATCAACTAAAAATAACTAGTTGTTTGGCAGACAGAGGCAGAAAGATCAAGGGTTCAAAGAAAACCTAGGCTGTAAAACAATCAGGCTCCAGAAGTTATGCATGTAGATACTGGGCATGGGGTAATTTACCTATAATTATAGCACTCAAAAGACGGAGGTAGAAAACTGGCACAGTTTGAGCTACATAATGAAATACTGCAGGGAAGGAGGAAGGAAGGGAGAGAAGGAGGGAGAGAGAGAGAGAAGAGGAGAGAGGAGGGGAGAAGAGAGGAGGGTGGTGGCCCATGCATTTAATGCCAGGAGGCAGAGGCAGGAGGATCTCTGTAAGATGGAGGCCAGCATGGTTTACATAGAGTTCCAGGCCATTCATTGATACATAGTGAGACTGTGTTTCAAAAACAAAAAGAAAGAAAATGTTTTTCCTTGTATCCGATATATATATATATATATATATATATATATGTATATATATATTAATTTTTTTACAAGTTTCTTATTGCCTCTTTATTCTTTTTAAGTCAGAATATAGTTTAGTTACGGGTTTCATTTTATGGCATTTTTCTACAATGCCATTGCATTTCACTCTTATCCATATCCTTTCCCTGTTGTTCCTGTCTCTCCTCCAAACTTCAACCTCCTGTTCTCATATCATGTGTCATACTGCTCCTCCTTCTTTCCTTCACTCACCTCTACATTTTATATCTCCTTATCCCATCTCAAGGTATTTTTTCTACTTTCATGACTTCAAAAGAAACTTTAATGACTAAAAATATATAAGCCTCTTGAATTATAGGCCAATTTACACTAGAAAATAAAACAAAGTAACCTGGGTATTAAATAAGAAATAACTGACACACACACACAATATTTAAGTCTAGAGTCTATATATAACAAAATATATGTGGCATTTCTCTGTCTGGCTTTATTCACATAGTACAGTGCTCTCCAATTGCATTAATTTTCTTACAAAGGTTATATTTCATTTTTCCTTACAAGTGAATGAAATTCCACTGGATAGGAACCACGTTTTCTTTTTAACCATTCATTTGTTGATGGGCATCTAGTCTAACTCATAAAGATGTGTGATGTATATACAAATGACTAATAAACTTAATTTCATTTTGTTCTTTTCCTATAAGGCCTCATATAGACAGGCTAGTCTCAAACTCTCCATGTAGCTAATATTAACTTTAAATTGTGGTTCTTCCTGCATCTACCTTACAACACATGTGTATGACCATGCCTATTTCTAAAATTGAGTTTTTACATAACAGGGTTAGATGTGGCTTAGTTGGTAGAGTACTTTCCTGGCATTCATGAAGTCCTAGGTTCCATCCCAAATATATACTTGGAACCTTAGTACCAGAAAGGCAGATGCAGGAGGCTCAGAAGCTCAAAGTCACCCTTGGCAACATAATGAATTCAAAACCAGCCAGGATCACATAAGACTTTGTCCCCCCAAAAAAACAAAACAAAACAAAATAAACAACAAAATTGAGCTGGGAATGTAACAGAATAGTAGATGCTTGCTTAGTTTGCATGAGGCCCAGCACTACCAAAGAAAGAAACAAGAAAGGGAGGGTGGAAAAGGGTGATATCAGATGAAGAAGGGTAAGAAGGAAGAGGGGGGAGGAAAGAAGAGAGAAACAAAGAGAAAACAGAACAATGATATTTTTTTAATTCACAGAAAACCAAAATGGGTCCTCAAGCTTCAATTTAAAAAAAAAAAATTAATTAAAAAAAAATAGCTGAGGCCCTGCTTGGGGATACCTGAGGCCGGGGGGCTGCTCATGGTGGCAGGCCCTATTTGGCGGGATCCAGCCCCAGTACCAGTCCTGCCTCTATCCATGGGACTAGGAACAGGAGAGAGACAGTTGAGTATTGGATCTGTTTGCACCTACCGGAAGGGAACCTTGGTCCCATACCCACCAGGAGAGGAAAAGATTCCTTCTATACCTATCGGAAGAAGCAATGGGAAGAAGACAATATAAAAACACATTCAGTAACAGAAAAAAGAATATGACACCAC